TTTCTTACTATGTGCCTGCTGAAAAAAACCCCTTTCAGAAATACATTCCTTGCAAGCTGCTTTGGCATTGCCTGAACTCCATATCATAGCTCAGAACATATTTATTTTCAATAATTTGAGAGCTTAAAAGTAAGCGTCATTCATACTTCATACTTCTGCACAATTACGGCTACCAGTTTAGCGCAATAATGTTTTTGCCGCTCCAGTGTCGCTGTGCATCCATCTGTGTGGTTTCGAAGAGTTCTGCTTTGCAGCATGCTCACACTGTTGCCTGTATGAGAAGATGCTGAGAATCCCTTCCTGGCGCCCTGCTCCCTATGTAGACAATGTCTGGAGTAGTTTGCGAGCCTCTCGTACCTATTCTTTTATCTTCAGTGGCCCCCAGCGGGGTGAGGATGTAGCCCTGCTTTCTAGCTGAGGTCCCAATCTCTGTTACCTATTTTGAGTTAGTTTGCCCAAACAGGAAGAACTGGGAATCGTGCCCGGAGGTAGGATTTCATCTCAAGATCATCCTGTCATCAAGGGTCTAACTTTATCAGCCCCCAAATGGGCCATCTAGCCAAAAGCATTCACCTAGATTTTTCTGTTATCAGTGGAAGGGTACCTCAGACGTACCTCTTAGCTTGGCCCTTCCCCATCCAAGATCGGTGTTAGAGTGGGGTGCAGGGAATCGCTCCTCTGGGTCGCTCTTCTTGGCTGGGCCGTATGGCCAGTGTACCGCAGCCCCTCCCAGCTAGACTGAGGTCAGGTAACGCCTTAAGATAGCTTTGATAATATGAAACTACAGTCTGTGACCCTTCCCTGGGCGCAGAGCTGGCTGAGTAGCTACGCGGCAGTATCCTGATACAGTGCCCGCTTTCTCCTGGAAGATCGTTTGGAGTTGTGGAGGTTTTTTTGTTTTAAGGACTCTGTTACTCCAGCCCAGCATCAGAAAAAAAATGAGTAAAAATAGCTGTTGTGAAAAATAGGATTTGTTCCTTCTCAGTGGTATTTTGTTTAAAAGATGTCACTGAGCAAGTCTACTCCAATAATGACATTTCAGCCTATGTAATACTACAGCATTAAAAGAAAAACCAACCAAGAATCTATTCTTTTTATCGACGTCAATGAGGCAAAGTACTCGGCATAAAATACTCAGTGTCTTTCAGTGTAGCATACAGCCTCAAAACATACCTTCCTTAGCAATAAGTTCATTTGAGAGCGTGCTCTTAACTTTCTTCTTTGTGGAGACAGAGGCTTAGAGCTGTTCCCGTATTATTAACCTAAGGAGCCCTTGACAGGTCTGAGGGTAAAAACCATCCCCTCTCTGACACTGAACTACAGGTGGGTCACTGAAGGGAGCTGTGTAATCAGAAGCCTCTGGAGATAATACCGTCACTGTAATTGAATAGGATGAACTTGGCAAAGGAATATGTTATTTTTGTTGCACATATATTTTTCTTTAGTTACAGAAAATGCCCGTTATTTTCTCTAAATTTTATGCATAATTTAAAATACATTCATTACATATAAAATTGATTAAATATCAGCAAAAGGACTCAATGAGCTCTCCTAGTGAAATAAAACAACGAAGGGTGCTCTCTGAACTAGTCCCATGAGCTAAATAAATGAAAGACTGTAAAAGAATCAAGTCTTCACGTTGAGAAGCCTTCACTGGAATGCCTTGACTTGGTCTCACTGTGTCCAAATCTAGAAGCTGTTAAATCAAATGCCTCAGCTTTTGGTGGAAAGCAAGAGGAGGGACATCAGAGCCAAGACACAATTTGCAGACTGTTTAGGGCACAGTCAATCAAAGCAGAACCTGATAGAAAGGAGTTCAATGGTAGTCAGTGCAGACTAGGCAGTTCTGGTGTCAAACGCTCCAGCTTACACATGTTTTCTAACCGTCACATTCTGGACTCTCTGAGGTCTCAGACATGGCTCACAAAACGACAGTTTCAGCAATTCAGTCTAGACACAGCAAAAGAGGCATCTGGTGAGGTTATAAGAATTGAGTTTCCTTTTGAAACTCATTTTTTGAAACTCATTTTGAAAAGATATTTTTTCTGCAGTTGCTGCAGTTTCACCGTCCAAAAGTACCTACAGGTAGAGATGTTACGCAGTGCAGCTCAGCAAAAAAGCAGGTAGCAGAAATTGTATAGGTGAAGGAGCGAGTGTCCACTTCAGAGTCGCTCTGCGTGTTACCCTTCAGCCAGCCAGTGTTGCTCATCTGGTCCGGAGTGAGTTTCAACCTGCTGTCCTCATCCAAGCGTGTTCAGGTTACACTTTGCTCAGCAGAGACTGCAGCACCCAGAGGGAAACACGTAAACGGGAGCTGGTTCAGAGGGCCTCACGGCTTATCCCTCACGTTTGCCTCTTGCAGCACAGTGTCCGTCACCCCGCACGGAACAGAATTTCCGTGCTCAGCAAACAGCAGGTGTCCAACACGGAGTATCTGGAGCTGTCTTTCTGGAAAGGCTCCAACTCGGAGATCAGCTGAAATCAGTGAGAGGTTAAAATCATTGGAACTGAGGAATGAGATTTACCTTAGGAATTTGATTCATTTTAAATAGGAAAGCTTTTCCACTTAGTGTTGCCCATAACAACTCCTGGTCAATACTGCTTCCGGAAAATAGTTGGTACAGGATCTATTCACATATTTAGGTTTTTGTCCACTGCCAGACAGCTATTCCCTCATCTTTTGTGCAACATAAATAGCTTTGGAAGATGGAATGAATTCACACTATTTTGAGTCTTCCTGGCATTGGCGGGGAGATGCATTGGCCCTGTCGCTGCTCTGCTTGCTCTACCCTAGGAATGGGAAGGCGTTGGTAATGTGAAGAGCACCTGACTCCAGAGAGATGATGCTTTCAGAGCTAGCGTGAATGATGGGCATGTAGGGGAGACTGATCTCTGCTGAGGAAGTCGACGCTTAATCTATGCATGATGGCTGCCTCTATTAAAACGCCCGCACTGAGGTGCATTGTACGCTTACCGAAGTGCCTACCTGTTCAGAGACAGGGATTGTCTCCGTCAGTACGGGTGTCTGGAGAGGTTTTTGTTTTCAATTTTAAGAAGTAAATTGAATTGTGAGAAGTAAATTGAAAAGTTAGAAGATTGACGAGAATAGAGAGAAGAAATTAGGAACGTCTAGAAAGTTTTTAAAAAGTCAGTTGAACAAATGCCGTCTGTTTTCCCAAATGTATTCTTAATAGAAGAAGCAGGTAAAATACCATGTAATTAGGATTTAACTGCCTCACTTTTTTTGGATGAAATTGGTATGGGTTTTTTTTCCCCTCTCTTCTTTCAAACAATTAAGGCCATTGTCTTAGAAATATGTGTACTAGAGCTAGATTCCCTTGGAAGCCTTCTGTGGACTTCAGTGTTTGAAATCTCAATCAGATCCTTCACAAAGCAGCTTCAGGGATCTTCTCCTGGGTCGAGATAATAGAATAGGCCTAGTTTAGAGATGGGATGTTCTTCTGGTGTTTTGGGTGTGCAAAAGGAACAGTGCGTTTAATGGTGCATGTTACTAGCTTTCTGCAAAGCAACGAGTATGAAGTCAGACACCCTAGATGCTTTGTTTTATTTACAGTCTCTCATGCCTTCATCTTTACACTTCTCTTTCTTCTAGGGAGAGCATTGAGAAAAGACACTCCAGCCATCCTTCGCCAGCACCTATTCATCCAGTAAACTCCCTCGGACATAATCGCAGCTCAAATGAGCAGATCAGGAGCCATCTGAATCCCGAGGTTCGAGAAAAAGAGAAACCCAAAGAACGAGAGAGGGATCACTCCGAATCTCGGAAGGAAATTAATGTTGAAGAGCACAAGGTGAAGGACAACTACATTTCGGAGAAAGAAGGCCTGAGCCACGAAAGCCGAGTGGTGGAAGAGTCTAAGCAAATGCCCAGGGTTCCTTCGCCCTATGCTAGGCCCCCTGTTGTGGAGAGCACCAGGCCTAATAGTACTTCAAACCGTGAGGCTGAGAGGAAGAATGAGCCGGCGTATGATAATCCGAAGAAAAGCAATGAAGTCAAAGTGAAGGAGGAGCGAAAGGAAGACCACGATGTTCAACCTGAGGGACCTCAGACTCACAGGTCGTCTGATCAGCCGCCGCCTATATCTACATCTAACGTCCATCCAAGTCCTTTAGTGTCTATGCCCATGACTGTAGGTGTAACTGGTATACATCACATGAATAGCATCAGTGGCCTGGATAGGACTCGCATGATGACCCCTTTTATGGGAATTAGCCCAATTCCTGGTGGAGAACGTTTCCCCTATCCTTCTTTCCACTGGGATCCAATGAGAGATCCCTTAAGAGATCCTTACAGAGAGCTAGATATTCATCGGAGAGACCCCCTGGGCAGAGACTTTTTGCTAAGAAATGACCCCCTTCATCGTCTTTCTGCGCCGAGGTTATATGAAGCAGACAGGTCATTCAGGGATCGGGAACCTCACGACTACAATCACCACCACCATCACCACCACCCTCTCTCTGTTGACCCTCGACGTGAGCATGAGAGGGGCAACCACTTGGATGATCGGGAGCGGTTGCACATGCTCAGAGAGGACTACGAACATGCACGCCTGCACTCAGTTCACCCTGCCGCCTTGGATGGGCACCTGCCTCACCCAAGCCTAATCACGCCAGGACTTCCTAGCATGCACTACCCCAGAGTCAGTCCCCCGACGGGACACCAAAATGGCATCCTCAATAAAACTCCCCCCACAGCAGCTCTCAGTGCCCCTCCACCTCTTATTTCTACTCTGGGACCTCGGCCTGGGTCTCCCAGAAGGACTACTCCTCTGTCAACAGAGATGAGAGAGAGGCCTCCTTCTCACACCCTCAAGGACATTGAAGCTCGATAAGCAGAGTGAGAATAAATAAAAACCAGAGAAAGAGGGACAGAACGTTGTAAATGAACATAATATAAAGACCTTCTTACTAGTCATTGATACAGACTGGGGATGTGACCCACTGTACAATATGTATAGACCTGAGTGCAAAGATTTTGAAATGGTTTTTTTGTATATTATATGTTGAAATTTTCCAGATCTTTTAGCCAAGTCCATATGTTCCTCGTGTCTCCTACTCTATTTTATTTCTAGTTTAAAAATTTCAAAATTTGAACTGAAGAACAAGACATTAATCTGAATGATTTGACTAGAAACAAGCCACCACCAGTGTCAACCATACAAAGCTCTTTCAGACCAGAAGTGAAGACAATTGTAGATATTTATGTAAAAAGATTGCTTCATGGGTTAATGGTTCATATATGCAAAAAGGGTAAGATGAAAGCTTTACTTTGTACAAATGTAAATAGATAAAATTAAGTAACATAATACATTAATACTTCTTAAACTGTGCTATTTGCAAACTTAATATTGATCAACACAGTCTGCTTATGCTGTGTTACATATATTGTTATAGACAGCTAAACCCCTTCAACTATGCAATGAATTTTAAGGCTTTTCACAAAAGCCTTTATAACTCAAAGGAGCCTTTTCAACACACAACATAATTAAAGTCATATTTTCCCTGAACAAGCTCATCTAGAATAGAAACCTATTTCTCTTGCTTGTTTTGATGAAGAAACAGCCCATTAGAAGTGTAGTTTTCTGTCTGAACCCCTGCATCAAGATGCTGATGTTGCTGTAGCTCACGTATTCCTTAGAACGCGTCAGGGTTAGCGATCTGTAATCACTGATACTGTAGTCGTGACAGATTGGGTTTCGGTCACGTTAATCTGGGTTAAACAGAGGAATAATCAAATGCTGGATATGTTCCAGAACTTCCGTCACTTAACATGTCAAATTTACTTTTGGAAGAACATCTGCTTATAGCCTTTCATGTCTGTTTTTATTGCCAGTGTGTCATTTTTCTCTGTACACACGCTTCTTTTTCTTTTTTTTTTTTTTGGTTAAGTGATTTTTAGCTACTTTGAAACAAATCCTACAAGAAAGCTAATACTTTTCTAAATGATGGGTATGTTTTCACTGTGGATCAGTAGTTTAACTGATGAACTCCGATGCAGATTTCATAATGCAATTCATTGTATTTCAGTTGGTAATAAAGTCTGTGAATAGTTAACAGGTCAGCCTTGTTGTTCCCTAATCATAGAAGACATGAAATAACATGAAGAACGTGGTCGTTTTTAAAAATATGCATCAATCTTCTGGAATCTGTCTTTTCATAACACACTTTTTTATAATGCGTTAAGTTTCTTGTCTAAATATTTGGAGAGAATATGACTTTATCAGAGAGAATTCAATATCTTGTCTACTGGACTGTAAAATATATGTATGAAATAAAATTAGTTCCATTGGTCTTCTAGTGTATTAAAGTGCTATCTGAAGTTGTTATCCTGTTTTGGCAAAAAAAAAAAAAAAAAGAAAAAAGTTAACTACAGACAGTTGTTTCTAATGATCAGAGATCTATTTTAGTAGTCAACTGAAGGTTTAGGTGTGAGCTTCAGGTTTTGTGAACTCCAGATGTTGTGCAGTGGTTTTTTTTTTCGTGTGTTTTTTTTTTTTTTTTTTTTAAGAACAAAAGGAAAAATACAAAAAAACCCCAACCCTGAAGAATATGTACACTGGAACCGTAGTGGTAGTTTTCAGTATTGTAAAGAGATTGTTATATACAAACCTTTTTGCTGTTTATCCTGTATGTAATAAAGTCCTTTCTAGATCCTATGTGAAAAGAAAAGTGAAGCGGCTCTCAATCTTCAGCATGTTTCCTCATCAGCGAAGACTTGTGTAATGTAAATTGTGCCATGTTATTAAAAAATGTGAACTAAACTGCTAGGTGCTTCTTTGTGTGGAGTACCCCATCATTGCTATGGGGAAGAAAAACTTTTTCCCAAGAGTGGGTTTTTGTTCAGACAAAATAGCTGTTAAAAACATAAAGGAAATGGCAAGCTTTTATAAGCCATCTAATCAAAATTATTGTAGTAATCAGGAAAAAAGGAACAAAAAGGAGACCAGATCCTTGGCTTGTCCAGGTTCTTTAAAACACAGGAACACCCTACTTATATTAGCGTTTAGTTAACTGACAGTTGGTCTTTCAGGATAGTCCCGTGCTTCAGTATGTGGCTGCATGCAAGGCCTTTTGCGCATTTGCACAGTTCCCTACAAGCCCATGGCGTTGTACCCGTTTTCATCAGCTAAGAACGTGGCTATCGGTTACTGTGAACCAACTGTACCCAACTACTATGTCCAGTTTCTTGTAAATGGCTTAGTTCTTCATAGTACGGCTTTCGTGGTGTCCTTTTGTGAAAAACGGTTAGCTCCTCATGATACATGATTTCCAGGAGGGTTTTTAGTTCAGTTTTTTGTTGGTTGGTTGGTTCTCTTTTTTTTTGTTACAAGCTTGTTGCAAACACTTCAAAGCCTTTATCCAAGTTACTTGGCAGAGGTAACTTGTGACACTAAAATTTGCTTTCTTGAGCAAGTCTTAGGAAATCTTTCCTCTCCCTCAATAACTGCCAGTTGTTTTGGTAAGCAATTAAATGTATGCAGCCATATATTCAAGTTTGGGTTTGTTTCTCTGTTCAGCCCTGTAGCACTTCTGTCTGTATTCTGCTCTTATTCCCATGTAAATCTGATGAAAGTGAAATTCCCCTAAATTTCAACCGTGTAACTAAGAGAAAAGAAGAGCCTTATGTCTTTTTTAAAATTTAATTTTGTGTAAACTGTGCAGAATGTGCAATAGTAGCATAATGTGCGAAAAGAGCTTTTTTCTCTTTTGTCTGCAAGGAACCCGTATCTCGGTCTTCTGGCTACACATCATTAAATACCTTCCAAGTTTCTGAAGGAAACCAGTTCTAGATGGCTGTAGCAGGATGAAAACGGTTGGAGCGAGCTTGCGCAGATAGCGTGTGAGGGGCTCCAGGAGAGAGCCTGAGAGCGTCAAAAAACAGGCTCCACTCGGAGCATTGTCACAGGACTCCTAACAGCTTTGCCAGCGTCTTCAGAAGGCGATTTGGTATCTGACTGTACAGACCACGATCCTTGTCCTCCCAGGTGCTGAGCACGCTCCTGCTGATGGTCCTGAATTCCCGATCAAGCCAGTGAACCCTCGCTCCCAGAGTCCCAGAAAGCACTGAGGCATTTCGCTGCCTTTGAAGTGCAATTTAAGTGGCTATATGCCTTTGAAGATCTGGGTGTCGGGTCTTCCTATAAGAGTGGTGATGCTGAGGGGAATATGCTTGAAAGGTATAGTAAGAGATGAAATAAGATGTTTAATGCTTTTAAACTTTTTCAGATGCATTCATTGCTTTTCAAAAGTTTGACAAAGGGATGTTAGCTTGCAGGTATAGGCAAGCTTTTTAGCAGGGTTTTCCATTCAAGGCATTTGTCTTAAATCATCTATTTTTTAATCACTAGTATTTTCTAAGAAATGAAGTTTGTTTAAAGACCATGCTGAATACCACCTGTAGGAATGAAAAGAGTCCTAAGGGTATTCTTCTGTAGGGGGTGAGAGATTTGGATCCCAGAAAACCCTGAGCTGCTGTGCTTACTCCACCCCAGACCTTTGCTTTGTGCTTTAAAGCTCCCACCTTCCCGCACTGCAACTAGTTTTCTACTGAGCAGCTTCCTATCACCAGCTGAGGTGCCAACTAAAGCAGCGTATGGGACGTGATTCTTTGAAAGCAGTCGTAACATTTGTTCCCTGACACAACGTTCATTTTATGCCGCGCTTTGTCCCTTCTTTTTTACCCTTCTATATTGTCGTCTTTGTCTTCCCTTACTGAACACAGCTCTACGCTGGTTTTCTGCTGTTCATACCTTACTGATGCTCTCCTGCCTTTTTGCCAGTCGTTCGCTTTCACTGCGTTTGATAGCTAAATCTATTACAGGCAGCAGTAAACACTGCAGACAGATTTTTCGCAAAGCCATAGACACTGCGTATTTTTGTTCCTTTTTACCTTTGCCTGCATGAGCTCATGAAAATGTGCAGTCCTTGCTGGACTGGAAGATAGGCAAATGGAGACTGGGGAGGATTTTACTGAAAGTATTTTCATTTGCTGTGGCTGTGCCTTGTTAAGTAAATATTTAGCATGATTCTTGATAATTTGAACTCTAACTACTGCTTCACGTGTGCAGGTGACCTCTGCTGAAAGCCACCTGGGGCACTGGAACAAGGTAACAGACCGTTGGTTATATGCCGTTTACAGAGGAGCTACTTCGCTTGCTGCTGCTGTTTCTGGCAAGAAAGAAGAGCGAGCTGTGGTTCAAACAATGACCAAAGACTCAGATTATACAGGGTTTTGTTACTCCCACGGTGACTCGGTTAAGTCTCACCTGGATAAAACAACTTGCTTCTTTGGACTCCAACTGCCATCTTTGGAGGCATACTCACCCATAGCTTCAGAAGGCGATTTGGAGCAGGATCCCGACTTAAGTGGTCTGAATTGCCTTTTGAAGGTGACTTTTCCTTAACTCCAGATCGAGACTAGCCTCTAACGTAGCTGGTTCAGAGAAGTATGTGCCAATGAGCGGTGGGACCACCTCCTCCCTTGTTGATTTTAGTCTCATCAGATCTTCCTTCCTTTGCACTGTAAAGTACCAATCCTAGCCATTCCGTACGTGAAGCTCTTTGGGACGCAGTCTGTCTCTTACTATGTGATTGCACTGTGCTTGGTGTCCTGACTGGGGCAAGTGAGCATTTCTCAGTGCTGCTGTAATACAAAAAAACCCTTGGTAGTATTAGAGACCAGAGTGACAACTCAAGGCCTCAGTGAATTAGCCATGGTAACCACTACAAAAGACTCCAGATTTTTGCTAGCCAAGAAGAAACAAAGCTGCAGGTGAGGGCAGACTGTGTTCTCCCTGTGCGCCCTCTCCATCTGGAGGGGTTTAGACTGTGG